AAACTGCAAGGCAAGAAAGAAGGGGGGGGCAGGGCTTACATACCTTCCAGTCTTGGCTGGAGAAGAACTTGGGGTTAGGCAGCTTCCCTATACAGGCCACCAAAATGTTGAGGTTTATGGGTTTTGGGGCTGGAACCCTGAAATCATGACACATGGGTCCTGTCTGAATAAATTCAACCCAAGCCTTCTTTCAGCCAAAGACAAAGTTTATTAGAACATCCTCCATATTGGCCAGATTCTTAAGGAATCTGAACATTACTGAGCTATTGGCTAGATTATAAGAATCTGAGCAGTGGCTAGATTTTAAGAATCTGAGCCAACAAAACTTTTTGTCCTAGCTTTCCTTACTATTTTTAGCTCATTATGAACCATAGTGCTCCTAACATTATTCTCATAGCACTGTGCCACACTTTTTCATCTATTCTCAATTACCTGCCTCTCCTTTCTTTTTCTGTATATACTTTTTTTAAAAAAGTGAGTCAAAAAGTTTCCTTTGTATCCACATCCATCTCCCTAGAAGTTCCTCCTTTTCCTCTTTATTGAGATTGTTTCTCTTTGTGCCTTCAGAATTTTGTTATTGAGAGTTTCCCATACAACCTGAGTTGACTTTCCCAGCAGAATTTTAGTTCTTTGGATTCTACCTATGATGTCTTTGAACCCTTTGAAATATGACTTTAAAATCTGGGGTCATGACTCCACTTTCCCCTCCTCTTTCTCAGATTCTGAAAGAGTACGCTCATTTCTCTCCCCTCCAGATTCCCTCCTAGAAGTTTGCATTTACTTCTGCAATTGGTTGTATTTGTTGGTGACATATAGTTCCAGAATAACAGTTCTTGTAGTTGGTTCCTTCACTTTTGAAGGATGAAATGGTCATTAAGGCAAGTTTGCTTTTGGCAAAGAGAGAATTCCAGCAAACGTTTGGATGATGAAGTATCCCATCACAACTATATCATGCCATATTGCCATGTTTGTTATATGTTTCCCAGACTCCTGTTTGTACAGGTGGCCTGTCATATAGTCTGATTCCAGTGTTGCTTTGCCACTGTATCTTTTGATGATCATCTGATTTTCTTCTTACTTCTCACCCCAAGCTATGGTACCTGAATTTCCTCACAAGAGCATATTTGCTCTACCCTTTCCCCAAGACATCATACCTATTCCTTTTGAATAGAGGATGTCCTTTCAGAGTCATACTTAAGTCATGGGTCCATCTCTCCATGCCTTTATGACACCTGAAAGGTCTTATTGCATTATGATTTCTACTTCACCTTGTTTATTATCCCTATCTTACAAGGCTATTATCTGAGGTCATGTCTTTGACTGAATGAATTTTGGCTTCTTTTTTGGATTCAGCCTCCTGGAGATTTCTGACCAGCTCATATGCTAGTCTTCTTCCTATATTGAAACTATTCTCCATGATAAGTAGATTGGTTCACATACAGCAATTTTCTTCCTCTCTCCTACTTTTCATTTTAAATTCTTTTTGATTAGATTCTCAGGATTCCAGGCAAGTACATTTTGTAACACATTTTATTAGGTGAACTCTATCCCTGGCGATGAGCCTATCATTCCTAGATTTTAAGCTGTTTCAGAAATCCAAATCCCACTCTCAGAGGCCATATTCTTAATCAGCTCTTACCTTACCAAATCTGTCTTTTTAATTTGAAGCCCTTTCCTTTGGTCAACAGGAATGATGAAAATATACCGTACTTGAGTTCTTCAATTTTCTTAGGCATGGTTTCTAGATACTTTCTGAGAGTATCATTTATGCCCACATGAATCACCAGAATTGAACAGTAGTCATCAAGTGTGATTGAAGGATCTCCATGAATACATGCCTTGGAAAGAGTAGAATTCTCTGTTATTATCAGTGGGATAAACAGCTGTGTGGTACTCACCCAGCAGCCAATCAACAAATATTTGTTAAGTACTTATTCAGTGTCAGACACAAAGTCAAGCTCTGGGGATACAAAGAAAGACAGAAACAGTCTCAGCCTTCAAGGAGCTCACATTCCAGTGTGGGAGACAACATGCAAACAACTATGCACAAACAAGCCAAAACTACAGGGAGTCAGCAAATACCACTATGTACGGTCTCTTCTCTGATACTTAATGGATGATACTTACCTGACTTCTTCTCTAAATCTTCATCATCCAACTCCCCCTCTACAGGAGGCTTTTCCTTATCCTCCAAATGCTATTGCCGTCCCCCCTCTCCCCACCAATAATATATTTATTTTGAAAGATATTAGCTATTTGGTTGTGTACATGTTATCTCTCCTGAGGGCAGAGATTATATTTTTCTTTGTACCCTTAGTGCCTAGCATAACTATTGGCACTCACATGGTAGGTTCTTAATAAATCTTAATTGATGGATCAGTTCTTAGCGAGAAAATGACTGCTTCCTTTTCAGAGGGCCCACTTCTTTCCATTTTGATAAGAATTTTATATCTATTTCTTAGTTCCAAGTATTCAGTATCCCTTCGCTTTCTCCTGTGCATCAGAATTCTTCTAGCTTCCTGACACAGGTTAGGATTCCCTTCTGCCATCTTCAAAACATTTTTTTCTTGGGAAATCTTTTGCTTTTTCATTCACCTTCTTAAGTTATAAATTAAAGGAACATTCATTAAACCCTTTGTAGTAGAGATGGCATATGTTTTATGGGAATAGGCTGGGCTAGTTTCTCTTTAAATGGGCAGGGAGGCTGTCCTTAGGATCTGATTGGTCCAGGGGATTAGAGTTTGAGCCATTGTCATGGCTTTCTGGAAGCCTGACCTAGCCTATGAGGAGTTAGGGTTCTTCAGGATTGACAGAATCCCCCACTGCCAAGAAAATCAATACACCTTTCTCATTGTGTAATGTTGCTGCCATAGCAAATATGGAGGTAGAAGGGAACAAGGTGTACTGGAACCAGTAAATGTATTCTTTTAAAATTGTTTGTTGTTAGGTAAATTTTTCATTAACTTTTGTATGGTCCAGGAGTTTTATACTGTATTCTAATCCAAACCTTTAATCACTAGGCTGGCAAAGACTTCTACCTGGCCCATTTACCTTCTCCTTCAGGTGTGAGATCAGCCTGAGCTTTGAACACAGAGAACACTTACTTAGCTGTGGGAGAAAGTAAACCCAGTTCACTCTAAGGAGTTTTCTGAAAAAGTTCCCCATTCCCTTTACTTTCTTCTTTTTTAAAAAATAGGTTTAATTGATGTCTTCTGTTTCTTTCATCATCATAGTTGTCCCAAATATTCCTCTCCCTCTACCTCCCAGAGAGCTGTCCAATTTAATAAATAGCAGTTTTCTTTTTTTATTTAAACAATCTATTTATTTTTAGTTTTCAATATTTACTTCCATAAGATTTGGGGTTTTTAATTTTCTCCCTTTCCCTTTCCTCCCCTCTCCCCAAGATGGCATGCAATCTGATATAGGCTCTACTTATACATTCATATTAAGCATATTTTCACATTATTTATGATGTATAGAAGAATTTGAACTAATGTGAGAAACCATGAGAAAGAAGAACTAAAAACAACAAAAGAAAAGGACAGCAAATAGTATACTTCCATCTGCGTTCAGACCTCATGGTTCTTTCTCTGGATGTGGATAGCATTTTCCATCATGAGTCATTTGCAGTTGTATTAGATCCTTGCATTGCTGAGAAGAGCTAAGTCTATCAAAGTCAGTCATCACACAATGTAGCTGTTACTGTGTACAATGTAGTAGTTTCTTTATAAACACCTGTTGATTGATTGGTGGTAGATGGATTAGAGACCATGGCATATAATAATCAGTTAAAAGAGCAAGAGACCTTTAGTTGATGAAGAGGGTATGTGCAAAATCATGATATATCTGGAAGCCAGCCCACGAGAGAAGCTTGGTGCCCTAGGCTAATGAACTCAATAAATCCTTCTCATGGATACTATTCCTTGCATCTTCTTGTTAGAAGGTTTGGATGGATTTGTTCCCAATGAGCAAGAGCCTCTACTGACCAAATGGGCAAGCCCCTCTCATTATTTCTAAGGGTGTTTATTGGTCCCTTGGAGTTCTGACCTGCAGCTATTGATTAATCAATTCTAGGTCTCCACCCCACTGGTTCTGTTGGCAACTCCTCCCTATCATCCCATCATGAAGGACAGGATCCCTGTCCTGGCAGGACAAAAGCCTCCAACTAAAATAATCATGTAAATGAAAGAATCAGCCAGTGAGTAGCGGGTGACTTGGCTGCAGGGAGGGCACTTCTCAACCTCTCTCAGAAATATCTCCACGCTTCACAGTCCACCCACATATAAGACTTAAAGCAATCTATTCCTGTCCATTTCTTTATATTCAGCTCTTTTCCCCCTACGCTACATGCTGAATGACGTGTTAGATTAATGCCCAGTGCTATTTCCCACAGCTACTCTAAGGGCTTACTTCCATTTTTGTTAAAAAAAAACACAATTCTTTTCCTCATATCTCTTAACTATAATATCAATCCTAGTTTCCACTGGACTTTGAGTCTATTTAGGTCATTGTTAATTTCCTGCATCGCTTACTTCATAAGTACCATTAGAATGTAATATTCTTGAGGACACAGACTTTAAGTTTTTGTCCGTATATCTCTAGCACATAGCACAGAATCCAGTACAAAGTTGGTGCCTAATAATGATAGCTATCTTTATGTATATTATCTGATTTGATATGACAACAAGGTAGGTACTGTTATTATCCCCATTTTAAAGATGAAGGAACTGAATCTGAGAGCTTAATGTGGTGTTCCCAGGATCCTCCAGCTAGCATGAGAAGCAGGATTTGAGCCTTGACAGGTGACTGCTTTTTGATTGAATGATAAAAGATTGTCCTACACTGGGCAGATCTCAATAGAAAAGTCAAGTTATACAATAACTACTGGGCCACTTATGTTTATAGAGTAAATCTGATAAGACCCATACTGGCACCTGAGACATGATTGTTTGTCTGAGAGCATCAGTGAATTTGAATCCCCAAACCCAAATCTGCAGTTCGTGTGTGTGTGTGTGTGTGTGTGTGTGTGTGTGTGTGTGTGTGTGTGTGTTTTCTCCACAATGATGGGACAACATTCCCTACCAAGTACTCTGAGCCCTACCAAATGAAGCCAGGAGCTTAATTCAGAGCTAGCTCACGTCCTGTGCTTTGATCTCTGGCCTGGCTTTCACGGTGGAAGGCAAAGCTCGGTTTTGATACTGCCAGACACAGCAACAGAGCATGAATCAGAGAGGAAAAAACAGCCTCTTTCTTGCAATTTTCAGACTGGAGGTACAAATAACCACTCCACATGGGAAGCAATTATTTCATTTTATCGATCACATCTCCTGAAGCAATTCACTTCAGCCAAAAATCATTTGATCATTCAAAAGGGGAATAGGTAATCAAGTTGTTGGGGAAGGGGGAATACTTACTGCCCCCAAAAGCTGACTTTAGACCTGGTACTTTATTTCCAAAAGTCACCCATATCCTAGCCATTCAGGAGCTCAGGGTGACATATAGGTCATCTTCTACAGCTTCTTCCAAGCAGACTCAGGCTTCTCATATAGATTTTTATAGCCTGAATTAATCATCAAAGTTCTGAAAGAGGCTCAGTGCTATCTAATCAATACACAGCAGTTCCAGGTCCTTTGAATGCTCTTCTGAATTCCTTCTTTCTTGGGAGAACCAGCCCATTTAGCAGCTCCTCTTAAGCATCTGGTTATCTGCCTCTCCACCTGCACATGTACCTAAGCAAGGAATACAGAAACAGGGATGAGTGCTGCAGCCTGCTTGGAACAAGCAGATGAGGGCTCACCACTTTCAGAAAGATTTTTTTGCTTTATTACTTTCCTTATGAAGGTTAAAAGACTTACATTCAATCCCTCTTACAATCTCTTTTTCCATTCCCAGAATACAGTTAGCAGAGATTTTTTTTCAGTCCTTCATAGACTAATGCTCATTCAATATCTGGACTTCCGGATCTGTTGAGGAGGTTCATTGAAAAGGGAATTTGCCCTAGACTGCTGCTGGGCCCAGGAATGTAGAGAGCCACTTTGTGGGTAACTGATCCCCAATTCCTGTCAGTCACTCTGCTGAGCTTGGCAGGACACAGAGTCCTCGGGGAGTAATGAAGGGCCTGGAGAATGCTACCCTCTGCTGTAGATTAGACTTTCCCTGCCAAACTGGGCAACTGATTCAGGTGACCCTTTCTCAGATCAGGAGTCCCAGGAACCCCCTTCTCCTGTCCACAAGTAGCAGGCATGCTTTCCATACCCATTTGCTCTTTACTAGCTATGACCCCTGTAAGTCCTAAAGGATCTGGCACTACCTATGTCACAGGACTGTCCTGAGGTACAACCGAGTAAAGGTACATGAAGCTTCTTTGTACTTGTTAAAGTCCACATAACTGTGGAGTATTTTTTTTTTAATTAGAAGATGTGTGGGCCAGGTTTGCAGTCAGAGAAGTTGGGTTTATGTCCCAGCCTTTCTACTCCTTACTATTTATGTGACCTTGGGCAAATCACCTCATTTCTCTGATTCTCAGTTTACTTCAATGCAAAATGAAGAAGAGTCTGAACTAAATAATCTCTGATCTGTACTCCTGTTCTTAAGGATCTATCTTTTCACTTGTCCCCTCCTCACCTTTCTGCTCTCTATGAGACACACTTAGACAATCCACTAGCATTTATTCTATTACTGCTGGGCTACAAATGGTACCTAAAGGCCAAACTCTCTATCAGAGTGGGTGATTCCCTTAGCCTGGGAGGAAAAAAAAGGAAAAAAATAACCACTGCATCAAGGGTGTGCCAATCATACCACAAAAGAAGACTGCAATTTACTAAATGTGGAACCTTGAACAAGTAATTTCTTTCCCCTGGACCTCAGTTTCCTTATCTGTAAAATGAGAACAAGATGTTCTCTCAAGTTTCTTTCAACTCTTGATCTATGATCCTATGAACTAGCCATGTGGTAGAACTTCAGCCACCAAAAATGGCAGGCATGGAGGGGAGGGGAGAGGGATAGATTCTTCCCAAACTCCTGCATAAATTCATTGAGGTCAGTCAGAGCATACATTTGCATCAAACAACCAAAGCCTCTTCCACTCCCATCTATTTGTCCTTTTCTCTGTCTGTCTGTCATACTTGCACTGGGAGATGTGAATAAAGACCAGAAAAGGAATTGGCCATCAGAGAGTTTAATCTAATCCTTGGCAAACAAAACTTATTGTCTTGTTAAAGAACTACAGATACTGAGTTTCAAGGCAGTTTTGCTTAAGAATAAGTAGATATGATTTTTCTGCTTAGAAGCATTTTGCCAAAGATTGTTATCAGATACATATTCTTATGTGTGTTGCTCTTTTTTTTTCTTTCTTGTTCCTACTCTGCTGAAATAACATCACGTGACCTTTTGTTGTCCTTCTGCAGGGAAATATCAGGCAGATTGTTCAGGAGAGAGCGAGAGAAAGGTCTCTGTGCATTTTGAAATCCCCTTTTCCCCCCCCCAAGAGCAAGAATCCCTGTCAGGCTGTTTAATGTGGACTTGGACATTTTCTTGGGGACAAAAATGAGATGTGTGTATTCTTCTGAATGCAGAGTAGTAATACTACATTTAAAGTAGAAAAAAAATTAAATTAACCTCTCTTTCCCACCCCTATATGCACACAAACTTGTTTGCAAATGATCCTTAAACTTGAAAATCAAACCTTCTGTCTTACTAGACATTTACTATTTCCTAAACAAGTCTGGTTTAACCTATCATTGATAACTTACTTGAATTGCCTATATAAGGTAGTTTGGTTGAGAAGAGCGGCGGCCTTGATTTTTTTACAAGTTCACCCTCCAGGACATGACATTTTATTTTTTGGCAGTGGGGCAGGAGGTAATACTTATCCAAGGGGACCCCTACTTGTGTTCAGCTAATGGACATACCCATTTGAGGGAAAATGAATTCCTTTCTTGCCCTCACCAAAAGAGAGGCTACTGAAGTTTGCTTTATAGATTGTGATCTCCCAGAGAAAACATTACATCTGTTTTTTATCAGGACTTCTCATTTCCCAAACCTGGAACTCTCTACCCACTGACTCTTTTTCCCCTAAAACAGTTTTACTTTAGAAGTGGCCAAACTTCTTTTTTGTCTCTCTTTGCCTTGTTTTCCTTGACTTTGGAATGGGCTTGTGAATACTTCTTATCTCCCTGCCAGGATTCTGAGGGTTTTGCTGTTATTTAGCAGTATTGATGTGACCAGGCCCTGTGGTCAAAGAGAGAGAAAATTCCTGGTATGGAGTTCCAGACCAGACATGGTCATCTCTATTCTAATTATTCTAAACATCACAAAAATGAGTTTGAGTCCAGACTTTGGAAGAAAGTAGACTTAGCCTAAAAATATTCAGTCCACATGGATATAACCTTGAAGGTTCTGAATCTTGGGACACTTCAGTGAAGAAAGTGGGTGTAGAATAGAATCAGGGAACCACAACCACCAGGCAGTGATCAGGAGAGAGAACTCATTTGCAGGCATTGGCAGAGGAAAGAGAGAAAGTATAGCCTCAAAGAAATGAAAGGAGACTGAGATCAAATTGTTGGAGGGGGTAGAATAAGAAAAACCCCAAATACAGAAAGAAAAAGAATGGCCCAGCCTACTCTATGAGTTAGAGCTAAGATTTCAAGATGGAGAAGAGTCAAAGGCCATAGAGACAATGAGGGGATGTACAATGAAAAGTGTGCTAGATTTGGGTTTAATTCTAGTTCTCCTACTATCAGTAAGACCTTGAAAAATGTCTGGGCCTAACTTTCTTCACCGGTAATATCAAAGGCTCAGATTACATGATCTCTGAGGTCCCTTCAATCTTTAATATTCATTGATTTTAAATGGAAAAATAAATAGCCTACAACAACTGTGACTACACTTTTTTTTTTTGCAGGGTGCTGCTACCATCTTCTATCAACTGTAATATCACTAAGACACTAGGAGTTTGGGAAGGACTGAGGAAAAATTCGCTAACTATTCAACATTTTTGTGGGCTTTTAGTCTTTTTCCAACTTTTTTGAGAAGGCTGCCTAAAAGCTTTTAAAATTTGGCTCTAGGGCAAATCTAGGACTGAAAGTGAAGAGGCAAAATGGGGCATACAGTAAGATTCTCTGAAGGTTCATTGTCACTCAAGCTGTACTCACACTTACTCTTAATTTAAGAATCTTCTTTGCCCTCAGAGATTTTACCTTAGAAGGAAGTTTTTGGTTAAGAATACCAAGGTAGCACTGGGTCTTTCCCATGATTTCTAGATTTAATGTCTCATTCCACTGAAAGAATTCTTAACCTTTTCCAAAGACCATTTGGTAATCAGCTGTTCCAAAACAAAATTTAGAGCTGTCTTGAAGCCAACATTAACCTTGAGTTGAAAGAAAACCTCTAAAAGTTTTATACATAGCTGGACAAATGTGTACATTAAGGTGTATGCTATGGGGAACCCCAAACTTCCTCTCCTTTTCTCTGCTAAGCTTCTTAAAAAGTATTTTAAAAGGACAACTGGAATTTAAATAACATGTTTGTGATCCACAATCACTTTCTTCTCAGGGAGGTTGGGGGGGGAATGTTCTCAGTGATGAGTTAATGTTTTTATTCTGCCCTAGGGGAAGGCTTGGCAGCTACTATAATTGCCTCATGGGTGGAAATGCAATCTAGCTCCTTGTTTGTTGAGAAGACTTTCTATCTTGAAAATTTAATTTTGCACACATTGAGTATTAATAATGTCCCATTTTACTCTGTTGGGATGAGAAAGAAATCATTGCATAATTAAAGTGATGTGGAAGTTGGTGGTGGGAAGAAGTATTTATGATTCAAGTTCCTAAATTGATAACATACAACATTAGGAACTTTATAAGTACAAGAGGAAATAAAATTTCTTTTCTTTCATTTTTTTTGGCGGTAGCGATGGTTAGTTTTGCAGGGAATTCCCTCACCACTCACCACCCTAAAGAACACAAAGGGAGGGGCTGCAGGAATCATTGCTTCTCAATCTGCAGGTGGCTTCTGGGGAGGACAAGGCTTTTAACATTCTCCAGCAGCCAGGGCAAAGAGTAAGCTTTGGCTATATTCCTCCACCAGTCTGAAACAAACAGACTCATGCCTTCATCCCATAACTAGAAGCATTGCAAATTAGAGGCAGGAGATTTGATTCTGTGACCCACTGCCTATACTCCCTCACAATTCCATGAGGGGGGACATCAGAACCCTGAGAGGCCAGCAGAGTATAATTGCTAACCTTTTCTAACCTTATTTTATTTTAATGGGCTGATTGGTTTGTCTTCATTGTGCTTATATTCTCTATCCCACCTTCTCCAACCCAGTCGGAAGATCTTTGCTTGGCCCTGCTTGGGAAAGAGGATAGATTGTTTTAGTGACATGACTATAATAGAAAAGGACTAGGGCTGTTTTGTTTTTTGGCTAGGCAATGGGGTTAAGTGACTTGCCCAGGGTCACACAGCTAGTAAGTGTCAAGTGTTTGGTCTGAGGCCAGATTTGAACTCAGGTCCTCCTGCCTTCAAGGCTGGTGCTCTATCCACTGCGCCACCTAGCTGCCCATAGGGCTGCTTCTTAAGTGACCCTAGACCACAGTCTTGGCCCTTCAAGCTTCTGGCACCTGTGAGTCTGAGATGCTAAAGGGATCAGAGAGGCAGGACTAAGGACTGGGAAAGGATCTGATCACTTTTACCAATTTTCTTAATGAAGTTCTTCATTATAGGTCATTGTTTAGAAATCATTTTAACATGCACTTTTTTTTTGTCAATTAGCTTACTACTGAAGACTTGTGTGTCTCATGACCTTCTCATCACCAACACTGTCTTCCATTTCCATAAACACAAAATTTTGTGGATGCAACCTTACAGGTAACATTGGCTTTTAATAGACTATGTGATTGTAAGGAGAAGAGACAGACAGGATGTGAGAGTGATGAAGGCGATGTGCGGTGGCAGACTACTGGACTGATCATAGACTTATCCTCTCCAAGCTAAATATTCACAATCAACAATATCAATGGCCCCAAGGCAAAATGACTACCAGCGGAATTAATGTCAACAGATAAGAGCTTTTCTCTCAGAAGGAATAATATGTTGCTAACTTGGAAAATTGAGCCAACACACAGTTGGCAAAAGTGGAACAGAAAAGGAATGGGCAACTTTCAGAAATTTGGTGTATAGCAATTCATTTGTATAAAGTGATCCATGCCCTAACCTGCCCCAATGACTACTATTACCACTACCACCACCACCACCATCACCACCACCACCACCACCACCATCACCACCACCACCACCACCACCATCACCACCACCACCACCACCATCACCACCACCACCACCACCACCACTACTACTACTACTACTACTACTACTACTACTACTACTAATCATTATTCCTGCTACCTAATGCTTACATAGCACTATATGCCAGACACTGTGCTGAGTTCTTTACAATTATTATCTCATTTGATTCTCATAACAACCCTGAGAAGTAGGTGATACTATTTTTTACAGATGAGGAAGCTGATGTAAACAGAGGTTAAGTGACTTGTCCAGGATCACATAGCCAGTAAGTGTCTGAGGCTGAACTTGAGCTCAAGCCTTCTTGACTCCAGGCCCAGTTCACTCTCTGCCATCTAGTTGCCCCAATTACTTTTTTCTTCCTACTGAAAACATAATTGATGAGGGAAAAGACAATATCTGTTTTCATTCTAAAGAAAAGACAGAAAATGTTATATTATAAAACAATGCTCATCTTTAGTCCTCCCAGGGGTCTGTGGTCTACAGATCACTCTTTGATAACTTATTCTAAACTAGAGTCTTGTAATCTTTTTTGGTATCACAGACTCTTTAGCAGGCTGGTGAAGCCTATCAACCCCTCAGAATAATGTTTTTAAATTCATAAAACACATAGGAATACAAATGCAGTTACCAAAATTTAAAAAACAAAACAAAACAAGTTTACTGATTCCAGATTAAGAATCTCTATTTTAAAGGAATCTTTTGGAATAGGAAAAATGTAATATGGATTGACACAAGTGAGATTACCAGAGGACCATATGATGTTCAACTTTTAATCCAAACTATAAGCAGATGTAAACCTATATGGTGTGATGGGTGAAGAAAAGAAACTTCTAGTATCAACTCTTTGGACTAAGGCATTAAAGTCCCTTGTTAAAATGCAAATAGCTCTTAGAAAGGTGACAGTTATTAACTAATGGTGTCTTAGAATAAACTAATTTGTGGAACTAACTTTGATTATCTCTCAGTATCAGAAGGAAGAGTATGTCATGGAAGAGATTAATTTTGATGGAGAAAAAGCATTCGAGAAAGGATCAAAGTATGGGGTAAACCTAGGAGGACAGGCCCAACGGGAGCCCCAGAAAAGATGTTCTGGTCAGCCAAGTAGCAGGTTATGCCCACGTTTCTTCTACTAACAATTAACATTTGTTTTTGTTTTTGTTTTACCCTTCTAATAATTCTTGCTATTTTATAAGGTGGAATTGATTGTAACTAAATACAAATATAGGGATGGTGGTCTCTGACCTGCAGCGTAGAAGTATACTTTCTATCTCTCATAAGTGCTCTTGACAGACTCTGACACCTGGGGAAAATCCCTGACCCAACCTATTTAACAACTCTGTCTTTCATTATACTCCTATGGGAGGACTGGAAAATGAGGATAATGAAAGCATGCTAGCTTTCTATAACTATAAGGAAAGCTCCAGCCAGTTTTCAAGTGACATAATATCCAGGCTCTTCATAATCCTGTCCACCTTCCTCTAGGCTCTTTGGCTTATCAATGTCCTTCCCAACATGGGGCACATAGAGCAGAGAGATAAATACTCCAGATTCATTCTGACTAGGGAAGAGTATAGTGGACCATCACCTCCCTTATTCCTAATATTATACCTCTCTTAATGCAAGCTAAAATCACATTAGATTTTGTGACTGTCATGACATACTCTTGGCTTAAATTTAATTTCAGCCCTCTAAAATTCCTCTATTTTTTTTCCAGGGGAACTGCTGTTTAGCTATAACCTCCCTATTTTGTATTTAAAAAGTTGTTTTTTTTTTTAAATCCAATCATTCCTATTAAATTTCATCTTAACAGATTTGGTCCAACACTCAAAATCCTTTTTGCACACTGATCCTATCATTCAGCATCTTAACCATCCCTCTCACTTTTGTGTCATCTGCAAATGCAATCAGGGTGCCATCTATGCCTTTAGCCAAGTCTTGGATAAAAATGTCAAACAACATAGGGCCTTCAATACTAAAGTATGGAGTTGCCCTGACCACACACGTTCTCTAAATGTGCATGTCACTACAATTGTACCCTGTGACCACTCTTCCTATATACTGTATATGTATTTATGGGACAATGAAACTCAAGTTATGGGGCAAAATATTTTGTAGGTACACTTTAGTAAATGCCTTTACTTTGAACTAATTATGTCGATTGGCTGATCATTCAAGGGGAATCACATTGGTGGGGCTTTTGAGCTCTTCTTTTAAAAGTATGGCCCCATAGAGGTAGGCCCCTAAATCAGGGATAGCATCTACTCTCTGGAGAATGGATTTCTTATTTCTCTCTATGAAGTAATGAACCTTCTTCTCACCCCCACCCACCATGAATTTCTCTATCACTATCAAGGATGATACAAAGGTTTTGGGCAATGAGAGATTGGTGGTACTTTCAATACTGATAGAGAAATTCAGAAACAGGGGAGGGTTTATTTCATCTAGGTAAATAAGAAAGGAATATTTTTCTGGTTATCAGAATAATCTTGCTTAAACTTGGACAATAGTAAGTAGATTTTAGTCTTTCTTCAAAGAAACAGGACAATATTCCTACCTGTATATTGGCTACCAAGGCCTTAGCATACATATATTTAGTGCTATCAAATTATCATGCATCATTTTGTATGGGAGCCATATTATTGCATGATTGTGGTCATGATTGAAGTTATCCCTTGGGAGTATTCTTCTCTGACCACTCCACTCAACCTAATACACACATAGCCAGTCAGTACTAACCTTCCCCCCCATCAAACCTCACATAGCATTTCTTTTTTTAACTCCCTTCTGCATTTAAAATCCACCTACCTTTTGTTGGACCATACCTGTGGTTCCCTTAGTATAGGATAACTTCCAGTGAGAAACTTCTTTTTCCAGTGCAGAACTAGCCCCTCCTTTGAAAATTAGCATCTTAGAGAGTGGCCTTAGCTTGCAGGACTTGAATTCAGGTCTTCTTAACTCCAAAGTCAGTTCCTTATCCCCTCAATTGTGCTGACTCTCCTAATTGTGTAACATTGTATATTAGAGTTCTTTCTGAGTAGTACTAGACAGTAAATTCTATGAGGGTAGGGAGCATGTCCCATCCAAACTTTGTATCTGCTCCAGCCCTTAGCTCTGCAAGTAGCAGGCACTTGTGTTTGTTTCATTGCTCTGGGCTTGTACTTTCAGAAAGTAAGGTAACAATCCTCATCAATGCCATCCTGCTTGACCTTGCAGTGCTACAATGCCCCTCGTTCTCCTGCTGCCTCCTCTTCCCCCCACAAGGTGTAGTTCAAATTGCTAGCATGCTATAGTGAATGGAACTTGCCTGGCATGGTCCATGTTTCATGATACCGGAGGAAATGCAGAGCTTTCACAACAGAGATTTCCACTTCCTGTGCAAAGGGGAATTTCCAGGCCCATCATACCATTTTGCCTAGATATGATACATCTAAAAATACAGAAATGTCATGTAGGGAGAGGGTAGTTAGTCAAGGACATTAACTAGGGATATTTGTTATTTTTAATATTATTATTTCTTTTTTTTTAATTAAAGACTGTCTTCATCCAAATTAATGATCAGGTAGGCAGTGGACTTGTAGGCAAGAACTGGGTTCAAATCCTCACTCTGTCACCTACTGCCTATGTGACTTTTGGCAAGTCACTTAACCTGATCTACGAAATGAGGAGTTTGTACTTGATGATCTCTAAGATGCCTCTTACCTCCTATTATTCTCTGAATACATTTTCAGCTGTGGCCCAGTCTTCAGGACTGTTCTCATAGTACTCTTCTGAATGTTTTCACCATGACCAATGATTATTTTTTTTTCCAATTCAGCAAATATTTGTTAAGTAACTATTATATGCAAAATATTATGCTGAACTCTGGGGATACAGAGATGATTAAACCACAGTCCTCAAGTTTATATTTTGGAAGAGGACATAAGCTATGTACATAAATACATAATCAAAAAAATAAAACATGGTGAGTGGCAGAGGAAAGGGGCAAACAAAATAAGCTCATAAGAAGGAGAAGAAAACATCTGACTGTGTGTATCGGGGCAGGCTTCATGAAGGAAGAGACATCAGAGCTGGATGTGAAGGTGGCAATGGCAGGAGCTAGGAATTCAAGGTGCAAGGCATGACATGGCTAAAGGCCTTGGAGTGGGGAAGGATTTAGTGAATGGTGAGATGGTGAATAATCCAATTGGCTGAAAAAAGATCTCTCGTAAGTGTTCATATTTATTTAGGGTCAAAAACAAAGTCCTTGCTTCAAGAAGTCCTCACTGGGTTGGTTACAGAGAAGATTGCCAAAGGCCAAGAAATAAAGCAGCCTGGTGGATGGATAATGATATTCTATAACTGCTGGAGAGTGTGGGTGTGGTAGCTGGCAGTACTTTGCATTTACCTTGTGAGTAGGAGTTTGGAAACCCCACCCTCTTGAGCTGGTATCTCCAAGTTAGGGAAAGCAGAATAGAAGATACAGACAAATTCTGGACCTATATTCTCTCAACCAAACTCAGGTTTTCCTGAAGGAGGAATAGGGCCTCTCTGCTCCAGGGATGCTGATGGAATGTGAAGAACTCATTTAAAGCATGGAAGCACTGATGGCAGTGGATCTATATTTGTTAGCTCTGCAAGGATGAGGACATTTAGGACTTGGAATAACATATATTACACTGATTGGTACCAACTGTCTTGAAGATATCAGAAGGTTTTGGAAAAATCAATTTTAAAAAAATCTTGCAAAAGTCTATCTGTCCAGAATGTAGGCAATAGATTTTTGAGGAAAAAATTGATACCTGGGGTGGAGTTGGAGGTAGAGGGAGGAGGTTATAGAGTCAAGAGTTTTGGCTTAGGTTTTCCACCAAAAATCATTAACCCAGTTTCAGACTCCCAACCTCTTTATAGAGAAGATCACTGTTCTGGAAGTAGTTCACCTCTTCCAGAACTACCAGCGAAAATTGGCTGAGAAATATGAATACTACATTCCCTCTCATGAGGAACCCATATCCCATAAAAGAAATCTATTGTTGATCCAACCAAGGGCCTCCTGGAAAACTGTTAAGCACAGCACCCACTTGGCATCAGTGCATGTGCCCTTAACCCCAGAACAGAGGCATATAAGGCCCACAATTCAGGTTCTAACATGCGATGCTCTCTACAGAACCAAGAAACTTTCCTTCCCTTCCATCCTGGTAGAGAATGACATATTGAAAGCAGCAGTCTTGGAGGTTATACTTCAAAATTGCACATGAAGCCCAGCCCAAGGGCACCTTTTGGAATCCTGTGGGCTGTATGCTGGCTCAAATGTAATCCCTCTGGCCGCCTCAGTTATTGTTATCCATTTTAATTGGCTGAATGTTTATTTTGCATTTTCTGTGACAGCTTTCATCTAGGGATCTCCAAGCTACATTTGTTCTAACTGCTCTTTGAGGAGTTATCATGTGCCCCACATTCCAATGGAGGATGCTAATAATTTAAGAAATATATCCAAAACTCCTTTAACTGAACAAACAGCAGGCTTGGGGTGGAGAATGAAGAGAAGAAGCATCTCTTACATGAGATAGTTACCCACAAAAACACTATTCTTGGGGCCCTAAGCTAATGAAATTATTCAAGAGCCTGGCTTTAGTTCAGCATACCATCCCCGCCCTCTGAATCTACCACTTACTCAGAGGTAAAAATATGTGAAGAGTAGGTAGCTGGAAAGGTGGGAGGGGCTGGGAGAAGGGGGAGATGGGTTCTTACACAGCTGTATTCTGAACCTAAGCCTATTCCTACTCCTGATGACCATGGCATCCTTCTGGCTCTGCCCTAGCCCTGGGGAAGAGCCCGGCTCTGGAATAACCAGTCTGCTTTTTCCTTCAGCCCAGAGAATCAAGTATGTTGACATAATGCACAGTGCTTGTTAACCACTCCAAGAAAAGAAAGACCCACTCATTCCGTCTGAACTAATTTAAGGCATATATAAGGTGAATGAGTGGGGGGGGGTTGAATGGGGAGGGGGGAAGAAATCCAAAGAGTCTCTGTGTATGGCCAGTACATAATCAGTTTTTTCCCCTCCATCTGTTTCATACAAAAGCTACCTCCGTTCACTGTGGTGAGCCATTAGGTTCTTCTCTTCAAGTGTTAATTAAATGTGATATTTAAAAATATAGACTCCTCTCCAGGTGGAATACACTGAGCTCTTTGTAAATTGCTCTCTGCCAGTTGGTCGGCCCAAGAAGCTATAGCTCATTTCTTTTGTTTCTTGAATTCCCCAGTTGGGCCACAGCTCCAGCAGCAATAAGTATAGAGTAATTATTTCTGCCAGTTCTTCTCTACGAAAAGGCGGGGGGGGGGGGTTGGTATGTGTGTGTTTTAAGGAAAGGCTTGTTATAATATTAGCCCTTTTTATTTTCCCTTTTTGAATACCCACTGGTTCCTCTAAGATGTCGCTGGCAAACACAAAACCATTTGATTTTGCTCCTTCTATAAATATTTTCCACTTGAGGCCTATCACTTACTTTTGAGTTGTGAATGTTTAGCTGCAGAAAGCTCCTGCTCCAAGGAAATCAAGAGACTAAATGCAACTGACTCAGTTTGATTTTGATTTAGGAGGAATTTAATGAGGCTTTGGTCCAAGCCCACTTTGGGAAATGGAGCAACTTTATCTTTTCTGTAGCCACTGGAGCCAACTGAAGGGTATAGGCCTAGCCCGGGGAAATGCATAGCATCACGTGATCATAAATTTAGAGGGATGTCAGATACTATCTACTCTACCCAGTTTGTAGTTAAGGAAACTAGGTTTTGATAAATTAATTGACTTGTCTAAGGTCACATAGACTATAAGTAGCACAGCCAGAATCTGAACACAGGTCAATCAATCAGCTAGCATTTATTAAGCAAAAACTATGTGGCAGGCGCAAGGGAAAAAGCAAAATAGTAGTAGTAATAATAATAATAATAATCCCTGCTCTCCAGGAGCTTACATTCTAAATGGAGTAAGAACTTCTGAATCCAGATCTAGCCACCTTTCCACTGAATCACAATAAACACTCTATTTGGTGTCTACCTGGCACTCAACTCTTACCTGTGGCTCCAAGAAGCTGTAACATGTACACCAGCCATACCCCAGTATAACCATTTTGACAGGTGGGCTAAACCAGGTTGAGGATAACCAAAGGGCCTCAAACCCCTCTGTGAGTTAGGGCCGTGTTTACTCCAAGCATGTGAAGACTTCCCCTGGCAGGAGGGGTGGGTGAGAACAATTTGTTCCAGTGGCCTTCAGGGGGCTGAAGCAGGTGTTGTGGAGCACTTACTGCTTGGTCAGACATCAAAGATGTCAAGGTCATCTACTGCATTCTGGGCCATCTCCAGTCCTCTTGATTTTTGTCTCTTTCCATTTGACTTTGATGATTCTGGAAGAGAGAGTGAGGCTGATGACTTTTCACAACTCTGCCTTATTTAAATCCAATTCATGCACAAGTCAAGACACTACCCTGTGATGTCATTGATCCTCTTCTAAAATGAAGGACAAACAACAACAATACATATTCTAGTCTCAAGTTGCCATGTTATATCAAGATCACTCTTATATCAGCTGCTAGATTGAAAAATCAATGCACTTAGTGATTCTTGGTATATCCTACCTGACTTGGTATCTTTCCAAATTCTCAAAGATGCCCTCCTTGTCTCAGTGTGCTGTGATTTAATTGTCCATAGAATTTGGCAAACCATTTCCAATCATCACAATTTTCTCCCATTAAGCACTTGGCATTCATAGACAAACTATCTTGGACCCTGAATGCCATGTGATCTGAGGAGGTAATATCTTCTCTGACCACATGGCATTCAGGGTCCAAGATAGATACAGATATAAAAGCCCTGAGGACCACTGCTCTTCTCCTCTAACTGGATTTGTACATGAGTCCTCCAGACTGGTAGTGTCAGTTCAGGTTGAGAGCAGATTCTTTCCCATCCCTTGTAGGGCACTCCAGACTCATAGACATATAGTGACCTTAATGTCTTTGTTCTACCATTAAACCCACGTATCCCAAAGAGATCAAAGAGAGAAAGGACCCATATGTACAAAAATATTTGTAGCAGAAAACTAAGATGGTACCCATCAATTGGGAAATGACTGAGCAAATTATGACATATGACTTGAGAAGACTTGTATGAATTGAAACAGAATGAAGGGAGAAGAACCAGGAAAATAATTCATACAATAACTAAGGTACAAAGGGAAACCATTTTGAAAGATTTAAGAACTCCAGTCAACATAATGAAGAACTAGGACTCCAGAAAACCAATGATGACTCATACTTTCTACCATCTGACAGAGAAGTCATGAACTAGAAATGTAGAATGAGCCACAAATTGTCTGATATAGCCGAAGTGTGGATCTGTTTTACCTAACTATAGTTAGGAGAT